CAATAATGTGATATAGGTTTCATGGATAGCACATAGGCACTATTGGGCTTCAAATTGAAATCAATATGCTATTCCATGTTTATATTAATTTATTTAATATACTGGATTCTTACCCACCATAATTATAAATTTACGATATTACCATGAGAATCTCGCAATAGCATTGTTTTTTTTTTCTTTTTTTCTTTTTTTAACGGCCATACGAGCGTGACGGCGTTACCCTTTCCAAAGCCGTCCACGACATCTTCGATCTTGACGGGTGCAAAGGGCTCTCCCTAGTCAATTAAACGAGCTACGTACAAAATTGGCTCTCAGGAGATCAGGGAGAGGGAGATGGTGAGCAATACAGAAGAGATCCAGTTGAACAGGCTCGAGAACCAGGTCGACAATGGAGGAGGAGGGGCTTGGGAGTACCTCTGCCTAGTCAGGAAGCTCAAGGTTAGGCGCTCCGACAAGGTTTTAAAGCATGGATTGTCAATCTTAAATGACCCTAAAAAGCGATCTAGTCTTGGCGCAGATGGTGAGTTCCGAGTTCTCTTGTTAATCTGCCATGTGGGTCTGTTTTTTTTTTTTTTTCTTCGTTTTGGAATTTTATAGGTTTCGTTTCAACAGGGTATTGAAGAAAGTTTGGTTCTATTTTGAAGTACTTAAATTTAATTATTTAAATTCTATAGTTACTAGCTTGAACTTGATTTGAATTTTGGGAATTAATTATGTGTCAAGATGCTGGAGTGAATATTGATTTTTGGTCAGATCAAATGTGATGGTTTGGTTGGAACTTGGTGTTGGTAAGAATTATGAATTATGGAGTGAGGGTTGAGTCTTCTAGCCATGTGCTCGATTCCGGGATGCTTGAATTTTCTGGTTAAAAGATTTGATTTCAATTTTGTTTATAAGAATTACTGCTAGGTATTGAAGAACTTTGGGGTGCATTTTTGGTGTTTACGGGCTTTAATGATTATCTTGCTGCTTGGCTGCAAATATAGGTGTAAAAGTACATGCATGTTTGTTTGATTTGTTAATTTTCAGTAGTTTATTTCTTGTAAAGAACTTATCAATGACAAAGTCTCATTTCTTGATGTAGAATGGACTCTATATGAGCAAGTAGCAATTGCTGCTATGGATTGCCAGTGCCTTGATGTTGCAAAGGTACAAGCCTTTTTCTTTTAAGTTTTATCATTTTTTTGTCTCTTTTAGGTTTTCTCTTTTATGTGTCTTGATTATTGAGGCTGAATGCAATCTAAACTTGCAGGACTGCTTAAAGGTTTTACAGAAGAGATTTCCTGAGAGCAAAAGGGTTGGTAAGTAAACAGAAACTATTACTAATTATATTTTTTCTATCTCAGTTGGTATTATGAAATGCATCTATAGTTGTGAGGTATTAGTTTTTGGTCATCCTGTAATTGGTTTAAGAAATCAATTAGTTTTGGGTCAAAGCAACTTGTAGACATTTTTTGCAAAAGTCTATATACACTATATAATCAGGAGTAACAGGCTGGTTTTTATGAAACAGTGAAAAAATCTGGATATCTTTTTCTGACCATATTCTTATCATTCTTACCCGGTGTTAAGTTTTTACTCCATAGTTTGTGTATTCTAGTCATCTCCATTGAAAATTGCAGAAGATTGCTTCTACAATTTTTTTTCGCCTTTGATCTGATTAGTTTTGGTTTGGATCAAATCAACTCTTTATTGGAAAGGTTTGTTACATATGCTACAACAACTATGCATTGATGTTCATGTATTCCATTTGTCAGTTACATACAATGCATATATTCCTTCCCTGCTAAATATCTCAATTTATCCAAGACACCTGCTGAAGCATCTCTTGAACATAGCAGCCTTTCTTTTGCCCCTCATACTCATACAGCTTATCACTTCTTAAGGTACCATAGCAATGCTGTGGAGTGTGGTGTTTCATTCTGCACATGTTCTGAAACTTGAGATTAGGATTATGTACTAATATTCTACTATTTAGACTATCAATTGGGATCATTTGTAAATTTGTATTTATTGTTAACTTCTTTGTATCCATTTCAAGTTCTACAGGAGAGTTAGTGATGCTGAAAGTATAACATGTATAATTTATAAACTCTTATTTGATGGCCTATCCGTTTTATTTTGGCATTCATATAGGCAGGCTGGGGGCAATGTTGCTTGAAGCCAAGGGTTCTTGGGAAGAGGCAGAGAAGGCCTACTCAAGCCTTTTGGAGGATAATCCACTTGATCAAGTAAACCCCATAATTGATTCTTTTATTGTTTTACAAGTGGATTTTAATGGTTGTCATTTCTTATTGAGAAATCTTATGTTTTTCACTTAGCATAAGAGCATCTATTGAACACTATTTGTCTTGTTCTTTTGTGCAGGTAATACATAAGAGAAAGGTAGCCATCGCAAAGGCACAAGGAAATATTTCAGGGGCCATTGAGTGGCTAAATAAATATCTTGAGATGTAAGATCTCTCTGTCTGTTTGCACAAACATGGCAGTTTATCACATATTTGCCAGTGTAGATTGTGTCTGTCCTCATTCGTTTTCCTGATTGTACTAATATGTTGAAGAACAAACCTGTCTGAGTTTCTTCTTTCTCTGTACTAGTTTTATGGCAGATCATGATGCTTGGAGAGAACTTGCTGAGATATATGTCTCCCTACAAATGTGAGTTAAATTCTGGCTACCAAATCATCTATCTTTTTCTTTTTTTTTGTCAATTTTAAACTTTCCACATGCTCAAGCTTTTCTTAATGTTGATGTATTAGGTACAAGCAAGCAGCATTCTGCTATGAAGAACTCATATTATCTCAACCAACAGTTCCGTTGTATCATTTAGCCTATGCTGATGTAAGTTCCTTCTTTATGTCTAGTCATTCACTTCCACTAGTTATCTTTTAGAGAGTTATCATGCATTGTTTAAAGTAAGGACATCTAAGAACTTCTGCCTGAAATTCTTTTGGGAAGTACTTCATCATTGTATCAATCGTCATTTATCTATAGGTGCTTTATACACTCGGTGGACTAGAAAACCTTCAGACAGCTAAGAAATACTATGCATCCACTATAGACTTGACTGGGGGCAAGAATACCAGAGCACTTCTTGGTATCTGCTTGGTGAGCTCTCTCTCTTTCTCTCCCTGTTCAGATTCATTACATTAATAGGCATACATGCTTGCAAGCTTGATTCTGCCTCTGTTTTGATAAGGTTCTGTCTATTGAATTTTTTACGATGGCTTGCACACTTGCTTGCATCACCTGTATTCGTATTTTTATTTGTTCTTTTCTTGATTGAAACAAAGTTTAATCCTCTTGTCTAGTGTACATCTGCCATAGCCCAACTTTCAAAAGGGAGGAACAAGGAAGACAAAGAGAGTCCAGAGTTACAGTCTTTGGCAGCAACAGCCTTGGAAAAAGACTACAAGGAGAGAGCTCCAGCCAAGCTTGCTCTACTCACTTCTACATTAAAAACTTTGAAAGTTTAATTTTGACACTTATGCCTTTGATTGGACCCCATACCCTGAAATCAAAAAGGGTTGTCTGACAACTTTAGCTCAGAAATGTTCTCAAATTTTCAAACATTTCAGTTTTAGAAACAGTTAGGCTGTTTCATGCCCCCCTCCCTTCCTCCTTTTTTCTTTCGTATTTGTGTTTAAGACTCGCTCTATACGAGGTCTTGATTGTATTATCAGGGTGCGACCATTACAAAGTAGAAATGCTAGAAAACAAATTTTAACCTTCTAGGATTCTTTTTTTTTTTTTTTTCCCCTTTCTTTTTTATCCCACCGATGGTTAACACAAATGTACTTACAGAATTACTTGCATTTAGAAAAAATGATTTGTGACAATATAAAAAATAAAATTATTATAATTGTAATATTACATAATATTAAAAGTTTATAATATAATATATTATTTTATAATTAAATTTTTTTATTTAAAATTTTATTTATAATATAATATTATATATGTAAATTTATTTAATATTATATTATATTTATTTAATATTATATTATAATTATAAATTTATAATTTTATATGACATAATTATGGTATTGCCGTATGAATGATGAAAAACATCTACAAATTTTTTCTCTTACAAACTTTAATCCTTTTATATTCCACTGATTATCCTACTCGATAGAGAACTATTGATAGTCAATAGTTGATAGGTTCTTTTTTTCCCTCTTCCCCCCTTTTTAAAGAACTGGAAACTAAAGAACAGTATTAACTCATATGGTTCCTGCAATGTTTCCTTGAAGGATAACTCCTAGTCCCGCTGGCGAAGCCCGATAAAATACTGCACCAGGCGACAAGCTATGTCCTAACGAAGCCATGAAGTAGGCTGCAAAGTTTCCCTCGCAAAGTGTTTGCCGCAGAATACAGGAATCAAAAGTACTGAGTAAAGAAAAAAGGGTCCAAGAACAAAGAACAAAGCCATTCCATCCTCCCTTTTCCTCTCCTGAATCATGGAGACAACCAACAAAGAACCTATCTCCAGAACGAACTGCTGAATTCCAAGTGAAAGAGCTAATCGCAAGCCTTCCCACATCTGCCTATTATTGTTATGTATAATTTAAGGAAAAAGGAAAAATCAAAAAATTATGATATTAAAAATATCAAAATATTTAACAATAACTATATGATAAATTTAATAAAATTTAAGTCTACATTATATTTTATTTTTTTAATAATTATAATTGAACATCTTAACATTTTCAATGTTAAGACATCTTGATTTTTTTGTCTTTCAAAATTTATTATTATTTTTTTTTGGATTTAGATGATTAAGTGTCCTTTACTTAGATTTGTGTATATAAAAAGTAATATTTCCTAACAACACATCCCTTACGTCAGCTTAGTATATTTTAAAAAATTACTTTTTTTAATCTTAACCTCAAAAATTGAATCTAAATTTTACTTATAAAATAATATTTCTTTAATAATAAAAATAAAAAAATGGTCTTCATCCTTTTCCATTTCCCACGTGACCAATCAAAAACTTGGATTTCATATCAACTCAAATAAAGGGTGGGCTAAACACTATCCGAAGGGATGGCAATAGATCCCACAGGTTGAAAACCCTTCCTCATCTCCATTCTCATTAATAACGGATACGGAGATTCTCATAGAAATTTTTTGTGGGAGATTAAAAATAACTTCTGTCCTCATATTTATAAGGAAGGATAGATCCTAAGGGTATTTGGAGTTCTAGCTAAGTACTAAATATGTAAAATTTTATTTTATTTTTTTATAAATAAAAAAATTAAAAATTAAAAATAACTCAAATAAGTAAATACATTAATGTATAGTATAGCAAAGTAATATCTAGTAACTAATTATAGTAAACACACATTATCATAGACGTTTAATAAGTCTAACAATAAATTCATAAAAAAATGAAAAAAAAGCATGAACTGCCGTACATATTTAGGTTGAGTTAAGTTATTGAATTGGATTTGAAGAGACTAGAATTGGAATTGGAAAAGGAATTAGGCTAGTCAATTTAGGGTAGATTGAGTTAATCAATTAAGTTAAATAAATAAAAATTAATTGATAATATATTTATAAAAAAATATAAAAATAAATTTATATATTTTTTATTTTATATGAATACCTATATCTTTTTATGAGGGTAAGAAATCCCATATAAAATTTTATGAGAAAAAAAAACCCTCCGTCCCATCCATTGAAAAGAAATATTCTTAAAATCTCCATTATTGCAGTGATGGTCTACGCAGAACTTCATGGGTCTAAAAGGAAATTGGCATCCCTAACTATGCCTTTGTTGCAATTTGAGTAGAACGGAGGGAAGAAGAAGGCGTGAGTATAATTATACCATTTAACAGAAGCTTTCTATTTGAATAAATTTTCGAAGATCCAATACTCATTATGGTACTTTGTGCTTATCCGTGGAATTGATTTGATGTTCCCATGGTGGGTATTACTTTTTACGTGGAACAGAGCTGACCCTTTTGCCAAGAAGGACTGGTATGACATAAAGGCTCCTTCAATCTTCATTGAGAAGAACATTGGAAAAACCCTTGTTAGCAGAACACAAGGAAATAAGGTAAACTTCGTTATTCCTCTGCATTTGAACTGTTTTTTAGTAGTTTCAGGCTTCTTTAAATTTTGTTCCTATTGTTTTTATGGTACCAGTTTACTTGGTGGTTTTTTTGTGTGAAATTAGTAGTGCATTTACAGATTGAAAGGGGTTGATATCACTTCCTACTCTGGTATTTTTTAAAGTTATCAGATTTACATTGCTTGCACTGCTTTAATTCTCTTTGTCGGGAGAAGTCCATTTAATTTAATGTTTATCCCTCTAGAGGGGTTCTGGTTGCAGGGAAGCTTTTACTGACATTTTGTGAATTAGTTGGAAAGTCCATTGCTTTATGTTTATTTGTTTTTCCCAGTCAATGTTTCAGTTCCAGTGAGGCTTTAGTGTATTGCCACTGAGTTGTTTTTGTTCACATTCCAACAGATTGCTTCTGAGGAACTCAAGCACAGAGTTTTTGAGGTTAGTTTGGCTGATCTACAGAGGGATGAAGATCAGGCTTACAGGAAGATCAGACTTAGAGCTGAGGATGTGCAGGGGAAGAATGTGCTCACAAACTTTTGGGTATGGTAGTTTTATAGTTTGCTGTCTCAAGTGGAGTGAAATTGGTGGTGATCAATCATTATATCATATATGGTTCTGTTGCAAAGAAGTAAATTGATTTCTTATTTTTCCTTTACTTAATTTTAGGGAATGGACTTCACAACAGACAAGCTAAGGTCTTTGGTGCGTAAGTTGCAGACTTTGATTGAAGCTCATGTGGATGTTAAGACCACAGACAATTACAGTTTGAGGATGTTCTGCATTGCTTTCACCAAGAGACGTCCAAACCAGGTCAAGCGAACTTGTTATGCCCAGTCTAGCCAGATCCATTGGGTATGAATTTGAATTTATCATCCTTCTTGCTGATTCACATGTCTTTAGCGTTTCTTATATGGCTGTTTCTTCTTAGATTCATCGGAAGATAAGAGAAATCATGATTAACCAGGCTTCATTTTGTGATTTGAAAGACCTTGTTGCAAAGTTCATCCCTGAGATGATTGGTAGAGAGATTGAGAAGGCTACCTCAAGCATCTACCCTCTTCAAAATGTCTTTATTAGAAAAGTCAAGATTCTTAAGTCCCCCAAGTTTGATCTTGGCAAGTTGATGGAGGTATATTTCTAATTTGCCTCACTCGTTTTCAAAACCCCTTTTAAAATCTTGCATAGGTGCTCCATTGCTTTATGATGATGATGAAGATTTCTATTAAGGGGAAGGAGATGACAATAGGAGTGCAAGATATCATGTGAAGAATACCAAACATAATTCCTTGATGACATGCAAAATATCATGAAACTTGGTTGTAGGGGCACTTGTGTAATTGAGTTATTTCTTTATCTCTTTATTAATATGGCTTTGTGCAAGCTATATTTTGACATAAGTATCAATTAATGTAGGAAACTTGGTTGTAGTGGCACTAGTGTAATGCAGTTATTCCTTTATCTCTTTATTAATATGACTTTGTGCAAGCTATATTTCAACATGACATAAATGTCAATTATTGTAGGTTTACGGTGACTATTCAGAAGATGTTGGTGTGAGGTTGGAGAGGCCAGCTGGTGAGACAATGGCAGAAGGAGAGACAGGGGTTGTTGGAGCCTGAAGAGAGCCCTTTTTTCAGATATAGTGATGCTTCAATTCTTAGGTTGGTTCAGTAGAAAATTTTTGAAAGTTTTGCCCATCATTCAGATCTGAGTTGCAGAACTAGCTGACCTATAAAGGTTTTTGTTACCTTTCTTGAATACTTTGATCCTTTCTCACAGTGAAGCAACATAAAGATTTACTGTTCACATTTCTTGTTTTGCACCCTAAATTGGAACTAAAAGCTCACAGCAAAGAATTGAACTTGGTTTCTGGATCAAATGCATTTGGCTGCAACCATGTGCTCTTTTCTTTTTTTCTTTTCTTCCTTTTATTTTTATTTTTATATTTTTATGGCATCATGTACTTGTTTTTTCTTTAGTTTATGGTTTCAATATACATTATGGCAAGACCTAGGAAGGAAGAAGGCTCCAAAATTTGAAGAATTGTTTGTTGGTAGCTTTACCCTGAAAGTAGCACCCATTCATTTGGCTGGGGAAAGATAAATGAAGATGCAAGGGATTTAGTCTTTTTCATGCATCAGTACCAACAGCAATTTTTCCAATATAATGTTCTCTCTTATTATTTAATTGTCTTGAAAGAAGATTTCTCCATGTTTTTTCTGCATTATGTTATTTAAGTCTCCCAGGTGATTAATATGATGGGGGAACGATTAGTAATCTTCACTGACTTTTTCTTACATTGCATCACGTCCACCTTTTCTCCCCAAATGAATGCATGATGAATATATCTTATTCTATTCTACATCTGTTTCCTCCTGGGATTTCTTCAGTCAGTACAGAGTTGCACGTGTTTGCATTCATGTGAATGGTTGTAAGATTTGCTGGAGAAACCAGAATTTTTAGATAATTCCCTTTGAATGCTATCCTATCAATAGAGCATGACAAGCCCAGGGATCTTGACTTTTAATTGAGTTGTTTCAGTCTTGCAACAGAGATGACTTTTGTTGAATGACATTCATTAATTCAACTGAAGCTGTTCTCTTTCCTTCTTGCTGCTTCTAGGTCACTGCTTTGGCTCTCTCTGTTACCAGACATTGACCTTGGCCTTGGAGGACCGTGAGTTGAGCATGTAATTCGGTAGGTTTGGATAGCCCCGCTGCTGACAATTGAAGGAAGCTCTTCCACAAGCTGCCTCGAGCCCTGCCACAGAATACAGCGGACCACTATGTGCTGTGGCAGAAAATTCCTCCGGTTGACATTCCCATCTTCTTGAGACTGAAAGATCCTCAGAATGGTATGTGGTGAAACCGTGCCTTATCCTCTCTGCTTCTGCATGATTCATAAAACGATTTCTGTTCTGCCAATGTCGCCTTTGGAACAGATCTTTATCAATAGCTTCCTGAGAAATCAGATTACAGAGTATCAGCTTTAAGAAACAAGAAAACACTGTTTCTGGGTAATACAAAGACTTACTTTATGAGCTTTTCTGAAACTTTTCTCAAGGGATAAATTGCCATATCTGGATAATTGGCTTTTAAGAACAATTTGAGATTCCTCCGGCATCTCAATTCTCCGAAACCGAGCACGAATCTGTATTTCCATCAACACATGCATTCTTCTCAAGAGTTGTAGCCATCTGTTTCCTCACCAGGTGACCCCTAACTAGTGCTTGCAACTTTATCAATGCCCTTAAAGCACGCAATACTTTCCTTGCCTGTAATGCAAAACAGTTCCCATCAAAACTACCAAAACTACCTAAACATCAACACCCAACACATTAGTTGCTTGAGATACAATGTTTCAGAACAAAAACAAGACTCCCAGTACCAGATAAGAACGAAAGGCAGCCTGAATCCTAGTGGCAGCTACATCTTCGGCTGCTCTGTGTAAACCAGCAGCTATCAGAATTTTTGTAGTAGTTACTCCAGTTGCTGCTGCGACAAGGGAAGGGGCAGAGATTGAATCAAGATACCTATATTTTCTGTGAGCGCTCTCCTTGCTTCCTGATTTTTGCTCATCACTCCATCTCTTTTTGAAGGGTTCTTCAGGAAAAGATAAAGTAGTTTCTTTCTTCTCTTTCTCCTTTCTTCCTACCAGGAAGTTTGTTATCCATCTGCTTGCTTTTCCCATATCTAAAGTTCCAGTCTCTTTTCCTGTCTGTAGAAGCCTGGCTGCTTTTCTCCTTAGTTTATGCAAATTCACTTGTTAATATGGTTGACTTGAATTTCAGAATCATCAATGCATGACTTTTCCATCTAGTGAAATTTTCTATCTTTTAAATATTGGCTTAGGCCTGGCAAAGATTCCCCACCGGGCAATGGCAACCCGATATTCGAGTTTTAATTGGGATGATCTGAACATGGAGACGAACATCTAGTACTTTCTAAAAGAGAATGTTTATCTTCAATTATACAATTCACGGTCAGGAAATATAAAAATTAATGGTGATAGGCAGTATGGCAAATGGGGGATGCCTTGGCAGATAAGCTGCTTTTAGAAAATTTCCTGGAAATTTCAGTTCAGTTTCAAACTGATATAAAAGAACACAACATTTACTTGCATGATAGGTAAAATTTGTCTATTTATTGGGCTAGTAGCTCTATTGGTTGGAGTGGCCCTTACGAGCCTCAGGTGCTGGGTTCAATTCCCATTCCCCCACCCCAACAATTGTAGTCGTTAAAAAAAAAAAAAAAAGTATTGAACATCTCCATCCACTTAGAGCGCTGACATTTCCTTGCATGATAAGTAAATTTTGTCTATTTATTAAGTATTAAACATCACCATCAACTCAAGAAAATTGGTGAGATTCGATTCATACATAGTGGGAATGTTGAAGGGTTGATGAAAATCAAGCTAGAACCTAAGAATTAGCATTTGCCTTGATATTTACATGCTTAAGGTGCCTACAGCTGTTCTTCAAGAGTCATTAACAAAAATTAACAAGCTACGAATATGATACACAAATCTGAATTATAAATTAAAGCTGAAAAAAAAAAAATGAGAAACGTACAAAAGAAAAGAAATACTATAAGAAGCTCCTAAAGAATGTTAGGTTGGCATGAACAAGGCAATGCATGGCAAGATTATGCATTTTGAAGTGCATTTCTTTATGTTTCTTAAGAGATGTCAAGTGGGTAAGAGTTTGAATCTCTATATTAAAAATATTTCTATCTCTTTTATAAAAAAAATTCCTTAATTTTGTCTGATCTTGATTTTTGAAGGTTTTATGTCATTCCAAACCAAACCAAGTGTGAGACATGGAGAGAGTTTTGGCTAGCATGTTGGGATAAGATATGAAAGGAAAAGGATGACTAGCACCATACTTCAATATGTCAGGTTTTATATGTTACACGATTGTGCAGCATAAGATGATGAAAATGATGCAAGAGCTTTGTCTTCTAGTGTTATTTCTAAGTTCAGAACCATAAAATCAATAAACAAAAATGAGTTAAGATTAACTTACACTGATATAAGTATTATATTAATTTTCAATCACTCATTTTCCAAACAACCTCTTAAATTTTAAAATGTGTAGTTAAAAATTAATATAATATTTTTTAAAACTTACAGTCTGGTTGGCTAAGCTCTTGAGAGCTAATTTGAGCTAAAAAAAATGTTAATTTGATTAAAAAAAATTTCACCCTTTCCCTTCCTTCTAATTCCAATGGAGCCAAGACTCATTTCTGGCTAGATACTTGGCTTATAGACGGTCCTCTGTATCTAAACACTATTAACCAAGTGCCTAAAGCTGAGTTATGCAACATGGTGGCAAAATATTGGTTAGATGGTTGTTGGGATTTAAATTCCTTGAGAGCTTGGTTGTCAAATGAATTGATCTATCAACTCCAATTAGTGCAATTGGATGATAAGGATGGGGTACAAGATTCAATCTATTGGAGACACACTACTCATGGTAATTTCTCCACCTCATTTGCTTATGAATTGTTGATTACGTCCATTTCTTCTCCTATTGCAGGGAGGTGGGAAATGTTGTGGCAAGTCACAGCTGCCCCGAAAGAGAAAAGTTTATTGTGGCTTATGCTACATAATAGAGTACTAACAAATAGCTCTAGGATGGCACATGGTTTAACAACAGATGATTTATGTCCCTGATTTCGGAATGGCAGCAAAGATATATTGCATTGTTTTAGAGATTGTCTGAGCTCAATAAGGGTATGGAGCAGATGGATTGGTGACGCACTTTGGCAGAAATGGCAAGGAATGGATCGGATCGAATGGATTCTGCACAACCTATCACGAGGGAATGTTTTGATTGAGCATAACCTCCCTTGGAGCTTTGCTTTTCTTGCCATTTTCTGGTATATATGGCTTGCCCAAAACAAAGCAGTGTTCGAAGGAGATAAAGATTGGATTATAAGCAAAGAGTCTCAACTGAGATATCATTTAATGGAAGCAGTTCTTTACCTAAAAAAGCATATGAGAACCCCACTTTCTGAGCAACTCGTTGGGTGGGAAAGACCCCCATCAGGCTTTGTGAAATTTAATGTGGATGGCTCAGCTAGAGGGACACCAAGAGAGTTTGCAGCAGGAGGTTTGTGTAGAGATTCAAATGGTGATTGGGTTTTTGGCTTCACTCAACATTTGGGAATGGGTTATGCAATTAGAGAAGAACTTTTTGCAACTTGGAAAGGCTTAACTTTAGCATGGGAGAAAGGCTATAGAAAAGTTATAATCAAAATTGATTCCCTATTGGCCAAGCAGAAATTATAAAGTTTATGGAGTGCCAATGCTCTTTACCCTTTATGTCGAGACTGCATTGAACTGATTAAGAAGAATTGGGTTTGTGAGTTACATCATGTTTTTATGGAGGCAAAATTCATGTGTTGATTCTTTGGCCTCTGGTTTTTATCATCTAGCTAAGGGCTTCTGTTTCTTTGAGGAACCTTCAGATACAGTTCACGACAATATTCGCAATGATTCTTTAGGTGTTTGTAAGCCTCGTGCTTCCTGACTATTGAGTGCTTAAAGCATTGCCCCATGTACCAAAAAGAAAAAAAAAAAAAAAAAAAAAAAAA